AGCTTTCGGCACGTTCACTGATCCCGCCTCGTCCATTTTCCTGTTTATTATTCCTCTGTTTTTGCGAAACTGATTTCTGATGCGGCCTCGGACTTAATAGTTATAAGAGTCGTCGTCTTGCTTCGAGCATATATCGCCCTCTCCATAGTTCCAGATCACCTGAAATCACCTAACAACTGCCTTATATAAGGATTGCGTCAGACGTTTGGCTACCTCCAGGATGAAACAAATTTTCTGTCTACACCTGGGATCGGAGCCGAACAACTTTACTTTTTCTTACCTATTTTTTTGGCTTTTTGGGCATTATCAGCCTTTCCTTACATAAAAAAAAAAACTCTCGGAATTATCTGCGTTAGCTACAGCATCAAGCACAACGGGATCTGGTCGAGGTGGATCTTGTCGGATTTATCTGGAATTTCTCGAACAGACCTATGGATCGGCGTGGGAACTACGCAGCTATTGATCATAATAATTCCTCATTTTCCTTAATATTCTATTTTTCTTATAATTAATTTCTGGTCACAATTTATTTTCGACACTGAGATGACCTAGATATTGTTGAATTTAGTCGGCAAACTTTTTAACACTATATTATTTTCCAAGGACATTTTTTCCTTTCTGTCCCTCTTATTTCAATTGGACCCGATTAGTTTCGATTTCGCCCGCTATTTTATTTGCCTAGGAGCTCGTACGATGAAAACATGCAAGAAGTGTTATCTATAAAACTGGCGAAATGTCACCTACGTACGTTTGTTAGACACAAAGTAGTGAAATTTAAGTTTAAGTTCAACTGTTCGTAATAACAGACAATAACACAATATTATCACTATTAAATATAAAATATCAAAAAAATAAAAACGGTAAAAAACATATAATGCTACCGTTTGAAGTGCGGTAAGTGAAATGAATGTAAAAAAAATAACTTCAACGAGACGGTAATTGAAGGTTTGGTAGGCATTTTTTGAACGCATCTACAACAAATAATACTCTACATGTCTAAGTGGATTTCCATACCATTCGGGGAAGGACAAAATAACCCAAAGCAATAAGATATTTGCTTAATCAGTCTTGGTGCTAGGAAATTCGCCATGTCTTTTCGATAGGTTCGATTCACTTATTCGTGAAGCTGCCCGGAAACAGCCTGCCGCCCTATAGATTCATAGACCGTCACCGTACAACTGAAGTGTAGCATCGACGTCTTCAGCGGCGGACCAACGTTACCGGATTAGAAACCTTAGTCGTAACTATGTAAACCCATCGGCAGGTGCGTGCCTTTCCTAGTTCACCTTCTTCGAACGATCCTCCTAAATGCGTTTCCAGCAGCGTCGCAGAATCGATCGGTGTATCGTTTTGCCAGCTACAGCAGGCTTCTTTGCTTAGGTGTCATCAAATATAGTCAATTTCATTCAACAGGCTACGTTTCCTTGCTTTCTCCCGCGCAATTGAAGAGCTGTCAGTGAGTTAACTATGGTGCAGAGCGTTCGGCGCGTCGCCAACGCTCAATCACATAGCCCTTCGATTCGTCGATTTAGGAGAGGAACGATGGCTTTAGGCTGTATTTGGGTGCGGTCTAAGACGCAGATTTGTAATCGGCACACTTATTCCGTCTACTTGTCTATGCCATGTTCGGTCTCTAGCCGCGTAACCAACAGTGACAGTGGTACTCAAGTGGCACCAAATTCACGGGCGTGTCTACGGTCAACAGGCTACACCTATGGCAGGCACGACTCACTAGTACACTAAGCATGTGCTACAATGCAGGCCCATGTCGCTTAGAGACGATGGATAGAAATGTTTACAGCTCCAGAATTGGTGCTATTGAAGGTTGCTAATGTAATAGCGACGCTGCCGTGTGGCTAGGGCAAACGAGTCAACCTCTCTAATCTAATAACAAAGGGCAGGCTGGTAACAGCAACATGAAATTGGAATTTAATACAAGCGTCTAACGGGCTGGTGGTCATTAGCGTACGTATTACTACTTCGAATTTAGTTCGGGTCGGAACATTATTCAGTAAAATACGAACTCTCAACTGCTATTCGAAATTCCCGAAATGAATAAAACATACACTAATCTTTTTTTTTTTTCTTTTATAAACAATCCAGAATCGTCGCCTCTGTCTGTTTTTGTCATAAGCGGTATTCCCTATATCTTCGATATTGCTCGGACAAAACTCTAAAAAAGCCTTTTTCTAATATGTGCTGCAAAAATGACGATTGTTGTGTTTACTTTAGTATTTCGTAACGCTTTGTTTTTGTCCGTTTGAGCACCGTTGGCGTAGAACGTTTCGGCCTGTACCACCGTACCGAATACATATATATCCGACGCAACATGAATATGTACCCTTTTGTACGTAAGCCGGCATATTATTGTTATTGAGAAGATTCGGCCGGCTATTATCTTCCGGAAAAGAGCGCCATCAGAAGTGGTCTGTGTGTAGCGCTCAATAGTACAGGCTAGTGCGCTTAACATGAGGAAGGCATTGGCGGGCCGTCAATCGTAACGGGAATGCGTGTATATGCTACTGTTGATACCACGCAAATACTAGTCCTTTCTAGCGACATTTTGCGTCGTGGGCATTTTTTTTCATGTTACGTATCGAGTGATAGTTTGCAGCTACAATTACGTACGATTACTATCAACAAGTTACTTGTTGCTTAAAGGGGAAGTAATCAAAAATGCCCGATGAGCTCTCTTCCGTCGCGAACTGAAGCCGTACCGGATGTCGATGGTCGCTATAATTAATAAACATGACCGTCTCGAACGACGCCTCGAGCACCGGCAAAAAATGCCTGACATATTCATCCTTCTTCAGGTACAATTTTTGAAGCAAGGCACAAAAAAATGTCCCTATTCATACGCGCCGACCTGTACACTTTACGCACAACATTTGCTTCGTGCAATTCTTATACCTCCGAAAGTGAAGTTCATTTAAGTGTGTTACTGAAGCTTGCTCTATTGACGTACACGTTGCATACGTACCCGTGTTGATGAGCTTCAACTCTGTGTCCGGTGACACACGGACCAGGTGCTCAATTTTAATAGACAGTCAAACAAAATAAATTCCGCCGTAAAATAGACGAATATTTTAGTCAGCGATGTAATAACAATCAAACAACGTTTTCCAGATAGGGAACAAAAATAGATTTCAGTCCTGTCACAATTCTGCCACACGCCATATACTGGACTACCAATGCAATTGAACGAGAAAAGCAGAAGTATGAGTATACGATGATTTACTGACAATTCCGATATATATTGCGTAAATCAAAATTAAATATTTCCCGCTTCTGGCGCGTTTACTCGCAAGAGATCGCGCGTTGCACGAAAGTCTTCTTCGGGATGAAAAAGCGAACTAAAATAGGTCCTATTAACCTGCAAAAGGAAAATCGAATTAAATTGTAAGGTACCTTTAAAAGCCTGAAGGAGAGTACACACAATGGAGTTTGAACTGCGTCATACATATGAGCACATAATTATCTATACTTATATATGTCACACAACGAACTAAGCCATGCTCCTAAATCTGTGTGTTTAGCTGCCACACGTCGTTGCTGTTGAGGAGCTTCGTTCTTGCAATAACGTTAGGGATAATGAAATACCTTCTGTCCTGATCATACGCCTTGAACTTGAAGAAAGGCTTAGAGGATCGGTCCGTTGCGGTTGTTCCAGAGCTTATGCGGCCTAACGTTTTAATCGCAACAATATCTAAAAAGCAGCACTTTTATTCTTCTTTTTCTTTTTCTTTGCTTGCGAGGTCAGACTTTCGCATAGGAAAACGATATGGAAGTTTAAATAAAACAAACGATCTATACAATTCAATATATGCATCTGGCTAGTCGATAATATATCGACAAATATATTCACGGATTTGAATAGACGAACAAAAATAACTTGTGCATCCAAATATCCGGTTCCAAAAGTGCGTTCGGTAGAACGAACTTGAGGCACTTCTAATAAGTTGTAAAAATGAACAGGATCGAGGAACGTCCTGGTATCGCACCTTTAAGAAAGTGTGGAAAATTTGGGTAAGACGGGGCGAAGATGCGATTCGCGACCGAACTTTGCTATACTGGCTGGTACACAAAAATAGTGGACCTACAACCCTTGCCCGAGAAAGCGGCGACAATTTTATGGTTGTTGAACTTTTTTTGTTGTAGGAGCTTCATTGTTGACTTGAATCAATATCAGGGGCTAGTTAAAATTTACTCAGAAATCGCGACAGGAAGAAGGAGGTAAAAAAAAAGGTAGCCACCACCATGTAGAAACGTGGCGCACTTGGCTTTGGATATATTCAGTCGGCCGCGCACCGGTAATCCAGAGAGCAGTTAGAACTGGTGCTAGTCCCATTTGCAGCGGGTGACCGCTTGACGTTGCCGGAAAAGGGCAAAAAAAATAGCTTGTCTCCGTCACACTGCAATGCTAGCTACCTTTGCCTACTACTACACTTAAGGATACGTGTTTCGAGTCTGTCGTTCCCAGTAACGCCCGGTAAAACTGGACACATTTATCTAAAGTGCTACGATTCTGTTCAAGTTGAAATCTGCTGAAACGGAACAAGAAAATGAGAGCATGGAAAGGGATTGGTGACCTACTGATCAAGCGTTCGTGTAACGAAAAAATCAGTACGGATCCTTTAGGTCTATTTGAACTCAGTAACTGTCTTCATAGATGTCTGCTGGCTTCATCAATTCTACGAGCCGACGGTGCCAGAACTATTGATTTATCAGGTTTTCTGAGCAATGGATGCTTCTGAATTTTGCGGTTATAGCGCAAGTAAACGGTTGACCGCACCGAAACAGCTTTCCACGAACTTTATGTACAATTATACATGAGCAGTCATTAAAGGAAGAGCGTGATGCTACTATTTTGAGGTGATGAGTAAGATGATTTCTGAGAAGAATTATAGACACTTAATTACGATATGCACTAATACATCGTTATGATTTTAACAGCGTTGGAAGTGGTGGTGCTGCTGTTATGCCAGCTGAATAGCCGCTTATGCGAGATAAAATCTCGTAGTAAGGACGCTAGAAAAAAACATCAGCGTATAGATGAAGTCATAATTACTTTTTACCGATTTCGCCATTCGTTTAATCAAGTTCTTGTAGTCTAACTTGCATTATTCCTTACCTCAGGTAACTTCTACAAAGCGCATTTTTATAAGCGGGTACATGTGATGTTAGCTATATTGTGCTATGATCTTTCTACTGGGGTGCTGTACGTCCCACATAGATGACATATCGGCGTCTGGTTAACAGGCTGGGTTCAGGACAACAATACAGATTTAACCCGGACGCAGACATGGCAGTTGTGTCGTTTGTATATTAATTATCATTACTGTCCTTCGACAGGCCGCGATATCTAAATATTCGTATCAGTTTATTTAACTACATAATACAGTGTAACATTTACTTAGTGATACGTGCGTGTATCGGTAGCGTGTACAATAACGATGGCCACTATGCTATTGTACAACAGTAAGAATGGTCGATTTTCTATCGATAGAACGTCTCTATGCGAACGTCGAAACGCAGACGTACGTACGCGAACTGACCTAAAGCACCGAAGGGCGGCTGTAGGACGCTGCCTTGCGTCCATTACGTGTGCATACGATCGGCAACGGGCTACACTAAAAAGGGAGCGGAGTGATGGAACTTTCTTTCTTTCTCCCAATCTTACAACACTGATATGCTGCTATACATCGCCATCGTTAAATGAAGGTGAATATAGATACGGTAGCATCATCGTTTCGGCAGCAACTTTCGAAATTTACTCTACCCTGTGTGTACTGCCAGCGCCACTGTGGCAACATTGTGCTTAGGAAAAAGCGACGCAACTATATGAGATCGCCAGGCAGCGAGTCGCAGAAAACTATCGGTCCGATACTTCGTGATGATTACTTCAAAGCAGAGTCACGCACGTGACGCCCCATTGTCGCTATAAACACTAGCATGTACCGACGTGTCAAGCGATATACGCGACACTAAGCGGAAGAAACCTATCATCAGTCAGCTATGATACTCAGGCACACAGTGCTAGAGGGTCGCCTATTATAGGATGGACCCACAGAGAAGCATTAACAATAAATGACTGTACGTGCTTGTTTTACTGCGGCGCGCTAAAGATGCATCGGGAAATGAAAAGCAGCAGCAGTAGCATTTCAAGCTGAGAACCGGGCTGGACTAGTTGACGTAAGGCAGGGCAGAAAAGTTTGTATATGCTGAGGTAGGTCCGTTGAAGACCGCGACGTTAAACAGGAGATACTAACGTAGGAGACTGAAATTATTACGAGGGTGATCGTAATCAGCTTTGACAAAAAACCACCTACATATGTATCGTATGAGATTGCAAGGCTTACATTCTGTTTACGTATTCGAAATGTGTTTATCTCTTTGGTATGTGTAAAACTACTAATGTATATATATATATATATATACACATATACATTGCGACTGCTCCATCTGCTACTCATGGCAGTGTCTGTCGAAAGTTGTTCTGCTAGTTTCGTGAGAGGTGCATATCACAAAAAATAGGTAGGAAAAAAAAAGAGGAATATTAGAAAGAAGAGAAAGAAAAATAGAACTAGGATATAAATTGCTGGCTTCATATGTACTCTTTAGTTAGCCACGTATCTTACAGAGTGTAAATAATAACACGCATCGATACGAAGTAAGCAGATTTAGCAGAAGTTCTCCATCGAAGCAATGCACGAGGTTGTTTTAGATCGAGAGCCCAATGAGTCGCGAGTCTTCTAATTTGACCATGAAGATAACGGCTGACTGACTCTTATCCACATCCATACTTATACGTAGTCGAACTGATATTTATAACCGCTAGTTTAGCCACTGCTAGCGATCTTGGCTGGTCGGACGGAACAGATAAACAAACTAGCAATCAACCCATCCGGTAGGTTAAGTCGTCGAGCTTTTATGGTCGAAAAATGGTGAACTTTTATCGTTTAATCCAATGTTTACTAACCGAGCTCGCGTCACCTCAGATCCGTTGTCCGACGAAGCGGTGGCTGTCCGGTTAACAGTACTTAATATATGTGGCAGCAAATGACTTCTGGAATTTACGATCAATCGCGTCACTGTCAAACGGAAAAGGGAATCAGTGTCAACAAATGTCCACACAATAACTCCTCTTATTGTGTACCCGAGGTAAAAAAAGTTATGTGTAGGAAATAATGTGCTCAGACTTGTGATATTGGTATAGTTACCTTAAGACGCGCTTAACCAATAATGCGTGTGCAGGGGCATCCTGAACCTAAAGCAGACCTGTGCTGTATATGAGACCCATTATCTTCGTCGTACATAAAATTGTGCAGAACAAACAGCCAACCAAATTTGCCCGGAGCAGGATTGACTATAGTTAAAATTACAAGTACACTTACGAGACCTGTATCGTGGAAAAACTCTGGCGCGATTCATCGGTCACAGCAACAATTTTTCGCGCGATGTTTTGTTTCGCTCATGGCAGCTGGCAAACTTGAACTGACCTGAAAATCACGAGGGCACAATTGAATTCAAGAACCTAACCTAACCTAACCTAACTTTGACCAGTGTCATCCTAACCCATCGCTGAAACACCCAGAACTAATTCGGCCTCTGTGGCATTTTCTACTAGCGTTTGGTCGTTTTCGCAGGTGACTGACGGACTGCCTCGTAAGCTTAGCTACTAGCTACTTACCGTAAGCACCGTAATACAGTCGCTGAACTTACCGTACCATCGTATTTTGGCGTAACCTGAACAATGACGACGACGGCCATCGGGAATGCAAGATTCGGCAGTTTTTCATAGAGAGCTGCTGGTTGAGTTGCGTTTACTGCACATATAAACTTCCTACCTAGAACTATAACGGAGCCGATTAATCACGCGGGCTTTAGAATGCTATTGCCCGCGAATTGCGAGCGTCTTGTGCAACGGGGCTGGCAGGCCAAATACGCGGATCAATGGATAACGATGTTCGTTGACACTTCCTTCAACAAACACGTTTTATCCGCTTCTTTGCACTGTTACTATTTTTTTTTTTTTTTTATAGATCCGGAGAACTTTGCGTTCAGGTCGTTCATCATTGACTCTATCATGGGCCGAATGACTGGTTTGATCGTAAGATCTAAACAGCTCATTGTTGCGCCCTTCTATCTCGCCATGTAGATGGAGGATATCCTTAGAAAAGATCACGTAACGCTTATAATTCTAATCTTGTACGTATATCATATCGCTACTTTCTTCTAGATGTCGCTCAAGTGAATTGTGAACACGGATAGGGGTCGATTGATAGGGAGACATGGTGACGCCGAATGTTCCGCCTTATTTTCGAGTCGATGGCCACTAAACACTGGCGTATCCTACAGGATTCGATCGGCTGTATTGCTCCAGACCGTGGAGGCCGACGGCCTATTCTAATGTCGTACAATGATTCGTGCTCGACCTGCTTGCGTTGTCCGTTTGGGGAAGCTTGGGACAGTGTCCTGTTTCGAACAAAGACTCCTTGCTTTATGATTTCAATAAGTGTTGGTTTCTACGCTTATCAGCATAGAAGTCTCAATACTTATAACCAAATTTACCTCTGGAGTCGATTTCAATGTAAAAAAATTTCGACACAAACGAGTGGATACTTCGTTGAGATCTACTTGTGGTCAATCTGTTTATGTTAGCCTTTTGTTTCTCTTTTGTTAGTAACAAAAACCAAAGTAACTGTCAGTACCTATTTTGCAGATGATAGACTGTATCGAAGTATGCAAGCCAATTCAATTGTGAGCAACATAGAAAATTACTTTGCTATTGATTGCATAAAAGTTTTTCTATAGCTGTTTATCAGTTACCCTTTCAACAATAGGCATTGTAACCGCTGCTCTAGCATTAGTTGTCAGGATTGTATTTTCTATAGCTCTGAGGATCTGGTTGATGCTCAGATTCAAGCGTAAAATACGTCCAAATACATTTACGCACGTTTTCACTACCCGGAGCTACTCCTCGCGTATTTCATGATTAGATCTCAAATATGGGGTCTATTTCAGATTCTTTCCATCCAGAGACCTTTCCGTGCTTCTAGTTTCGATTTGTTTCAATATGGTCTTGTCTTACCAATTATTCTCAATATGCAGTCGTAGTGATTACGTGGGATCGCGTGTTGTCCATAGGAAATTATGGCGGACACTGACAAACATCGGCACAGAATGATTCCAATAGACGCTAAGCATATGGTTCGTAAAGGTACCGTGGTGTTTAGTAGTTTTTGATAGGATGGGATCTCGGCGGCGTATTATATGGACTTTTATTGTAAAGTATATTCAAAAAAACAGGGGAACATTAGTGAAAAAAAAAAAAAAAACATTAATTGTTATAGAACAGTAGTTAGTTAGGGCAGCAGACGCACTACGTCTTGACTGAATGTGTTACTCGCTGGTTGGAGTGGCTGAGCAGAAACTATAGTAGGTGCAGTAAATGCGCGCGTCTTACTATATCTCCGTCTTCAGGGGCCCATTTGGTATCGTCGCAATTCCTTGCGCTCTAGCAAAAGTGATGATCCTGTTAGATCAAAGGTACGATCGCGTTCGACGCGGACGAGTATAACCGATAAACTTACCTAAGAATTTATAATCTGTGATATGCCGATAAGTTTGGTATGAGCGTTAGTCAGAATATAAACTGAGCGTTGGTCTAGTTAGCTAATGGTTACTTTGTTTCAGTTTGAACGGGCCATCTTTAAGGCAGGATCCCGTCTCTAGCAAATCAATATTCCGTCATGATTGTTCCTTGTGAAATTTTCCTACGACTGCACTTTGATACCCGAGATCCGGCGGCAGACAACACAGACGGCCTTCGATGCTTATCTGGTATTTCCTAATACTATATCTTCTTTATTTCTACAATGAATTGCCTCGCTAAAAACGATTACCTAGAACGAGCTAGCACAAAACACCACTTCCTTGCCCGTCTCCACATATTGTCAGAATTATCCTTATCACATACACACGCTATAGCCGGAGTGTGATCTCAGCACTCGGTAGGTAACCATGATATGTAGAGGAAAGAAAGACAACCACGGCTATTACGTATCAAATGTACTTGCAAACAGGTAACGACCGTAGGAAATACCCATACCGAAAAAAAACTGATATCTCGCTCTATATTTAGCCCGTATCATGCATCATGTATCGTAACATTTTTTTTACTCATTTGCCGATACGCGTATCATATATTTTCGCGTCGATATACATAGATTGGGTGAAAGAAGTGATTTCGGCGCCCATTACCTACTGCAATAAGCAATACCGTTATCTGCCCCCATTGCCCTGCAGTCTTAATTGGTCGGATCGGCCAAATCGGCTGTTCTGGATTTCGGCTCGACCCTGACTGCAACAGCGTCTGATATTTTCGGCAGTTTACAGAGGTACAATGTTTGTATATACGATCATATTTGCTACTGAGATCGCTGTTGGCATGTCGGGAGAGTACTTCGAACCCTATCGGAGGTGGCGTGCGTAGGTCGGTGCAGCTTTCATACGCGATCGGTACGCGACGTCGTAATGAATATGGTGAGGCCGAAAGCTATTTGCTTGCTTATTTCCTGAGTTTACTTATAGTCTGGCTGAGTCGCGCCGAGGAGTACTGGAGCATTGAGGGGATGTCGTAAAAGTCGAATTAGCACGGTATAGAGTCTCCGGTTTGATGAAAGCAAGGATGGACCGACCGCCTCGATCGGAGCGAAAGGTGCCACAAGTAACCTTATCTTTCGATAAGCCGGTAACCACAAAACCGGGACGTGAAGAGATGACGCGTTGAAAAGTCATCACAAATCATTCTGGCCACACTGGTAGGACGGGTAAGGCGTCCCGCTCTGGTAAGACCCGATTTAGCTTTTCTTTATATACGTATAAGACGGGATCTTGTTTTTAGGGCACGCTATAGTTGAAAAGCGGGGCTGTGTCAATAACTACCAGGGAGTTCTCGTGCTATCTATAGACAGAAAGTGTTTGACACATCCTATCTCGCAATAGCGATCTTGTTCAAAGGAACTGGGTTAACGGCTAAGATAGTTTAATACGACGAAGAAAAGCTTAACGCCCCACGTCTTTGGACACTTTTTTCACGGCAGTGACGTTCACTGGGCATAACTGTGCAATATGTGTGTAGTAGTCGGTACATAGTTGGCTGCACGATATGCAACAGTAACCTAAGGTCTCCAAACCAAAAGGATCTACTCTACTTTTAGATTACTGACATGCTTGTTTTTGGTTCAGATCAATATAGTCTCTTGTTCTTTCCCTGCAATCGACAGACGATTTGCTCCAGTTACTCATATTAGAGAGATATAATATAATTGAATCAAGTGTAATATATACTAGAGAATTAGAGACTCAAAAAAAAAAGATTTTTTCCGAATCGTGCTAATAGCCCAAAAATTGTAGGACTTATATCACCTGTGACGGATGTAAAAAATGCGTATGGCGGCATCAGTCGATCATCTCTCTGTGGTACAGCTGTAACGGCTTCTATTTATCCTAACTAACGTTTTCATTATGAATTTACACACAATAAACCAACTGGCGAATGGAAACTTGGCGTATCTCGTAGGTTACTATCGACTTTCAAAAAAATCTAAGGTCTATTTTTGTGGTCTACTAAGCCTCGTCTAAATTATATCGTAATAAAAAAATCTTCAACTTACCACTAGTTTCACGTATGTTTGTCACCTGTTGCAAGACCTTCTGTGTACTAATCGATACGTTGGGCTAGATTTTTTTGTTTCTATGTCAAGGAAAAATGAGCAGATGAAACACTTCCATTAGAGTTTTAACGCGATTTTAAATGGAGATTTCAAAAGTTTTTACACCTAAATTAACTTTGAAGTTCCTTGTAATGCGCACATACTTGTTTCATCTAATACCTTACAGAATAATGATTATTACTATTACTATTATTATTATTATGGATCTCTGGTTTGAAGGGATCTATTCCGCAAAAGCGGACGTTTGATTTCTTAAGAAGCCAGTGGCATTATAAATGCTACGGGTCGGTGAAGTTGTTTTGAACAAAGTTTTTAAAGAATTGCTCAGAAAATATCCGGAAAACGCTTTATTTAGCTAGCTGTTAGCCGGTTATATACAGTTATTTTGTTTTTCACGGAAAAAATCAATATTTCTTAATAATGCAACGTACTTAGACTTCGTTGTGTGTGCGGCTAAACGAAATAAACATTTATTAATTCCGGAAATTTCGTTGATAATTTTAGAGATGGCGTTGGTTCTACGATACTGGTACGAACATATGGTTAATCGTTAACTTGGAGAAATTTCTCATGATATGGCAAAGAACGCACTAATTATGATTAGATAACATTTATGTAAAAGGGAACTTAATTTCAGTTGATGAGGTCTATAGTACTTTGCTATTTCGACTATAACCTTCAATGCATATGCTACTCTGCCGAACTCTATAGGAATGATCTGCGAATTATTAGAAGTAATGTCCAGTTTCTGCGGTCCGATTCATCAGTTTCGTCTAGCATTTTGAAACACGCGCGTCCTCTGTAGAATGAACGGGACTACATTAATTATGTCAGATGGCGCTGGCTTGCATTAGATACTCAAGCAGACGTTGGTATATGAGTTTTATTTTGGTAAACTAGCCTATTTTGCCCCCCAAGAAGATCTTAATGCGTCTTTTTCTTTGCTTCTCGCATGAGAATTGCTCTTCCTAGCATTTTATAGCTTGAGGCAGATCACAGTAAATACTGCGCAGTAAATACGGCGCTTCTTTTTATCGTTATAGTCATTAACATTATTTGTTCACTTTTCCAGTAATACAACTCTGTTAAGCAGTGGAGCCATCTAGTGGACCAAATGATGTCTTCAAATATGAAATTATGAGTCTGATATTCTGCTTGCCGGTGGATCACGCAATCTTTCCACTCATCGGATATATATATATATATAATATCAGCCATTTAAGAGGCCTTTGTCTGCCTACACTGTGGCAGTCAGATAAAATTCC